CGCGGCCAGGAAGAGCAGCAGCGGTAGCACGAAGGTGCAGAGCGCGCTGGCCAGCAGCGCCGAGAGCCCCATGGCGCGCCGCGGCCTTCCGCGCCACCTGCCGCCGCCGCCAGCGCTCCGAATCCCGCCGCGCGCCCGCTTTATAGGCGGCCCAGGTTACTGCCCACGTTACCTTGGTCAGACAAATTAGTTCACCCAAAGTTCAACTTTAATTGCGGATTGGGCCCCTGGCTCCTCCCCCCCGCGAGGCGCTGCCCAAAATCTTTAACCGTTTGTTCCACGCCGAGGCAGAGGCGGCGCGGTGGCTGCTTCCCTCGGAGCGCGCCTCCTGGGGTGCGGGGCTAGGAGCAGCCTGCCTCTCCCCCCACCCCCCACCCCCCACCCCTTACAAGGTGTGCGGAGCTCCGAGACCACGGCTGAGGCTGGCCCGGGCTCCGGGGAGCGGGAACTCCAAGCCCCGGGCTTCCTGGCAGTCCCTTTGGAATCCCCCCGTGCTGGGTCCGACGCGCGGTCCCAGCCCAGAGCTGCCATCAAGGGCTTTCCATTTTCAGGCGCCCCGTGGGCTCCCTTCCACCTGCTGGGGAAGCAAAGGGAAGTGCGTTCAGGAACGGACTAGCTGCCACGTCCCACACGGGGGAAACTGAGGTCCAGAACGCAGAGCAAAACGCAAACCTCCCGACTCTCCCGAAGATCCCGCAGAGGAGCCCAGGGCCACGACCTAAGCGAGAGCCGGGGGTGGGGGTGGGGCCTCAGAAATGATCGACGGATCATGGATCCCAGCTCCCCAGATTCCTCAAGGAGACCAGCACTCGCACTCATGAAGTCCTGGAAGGTCCGACTTAAGGATACAAGAGAGCCTCCAGGTCCCTCAGGACTCCAGGGGCAACTCTCTCCAAGTCTGAGCCTCAACTCTGACGCCCCAGTGGGAGACTGTGGGGGCAATTCATCCACCGGTAGGGAACCGGCGCTCTGCGAACCCGCCGGCTTGCGAGGGCCCTGGGACTCACAGCCTCAGCTAGGCAGAGGGGACGCGGATTCCCTAGACCTGGGCAAATTGGGTGACAGAGATAGAAGAAGGAAAGCCTGGGAGTCTGTACTCCAGGACCGGTTCCATCTCTGCTTGCATGACCTTGAGCAAGTCACCACACATCCCTGCGCCTCTTTCCTTCTCCGGAATATGCAGGCGGTAATTCCCCGATCTGTCTACACCCCGGGGGCAGTCTTGAATTTTCGGAAAGGGGCTCCTGGCTGCAAATACTTTTCCCAGCTCCGCTAGATTACTTCACCAAGATGACCTGGACCCGGGGCACACGAGCCCTCCTCTGCTCTCCCAGCTCCCATCCACCAAAGCCACACGGGTGAGAGGGGTGCTCGACCCTAACCCCAGGCCTCTGCCGGCCCCTAATGGGAGTGTTGGGGGAATCCGTACGGGAAAGCAGGTCTTCTAGCCTTTGCCCAACTGCAGTCAGCGGCTACTGCCGCCAATGCGGGGAGCTCGGACACCGCGGGCAGTGCACGTGCGCGCCCCACTTCCCACCTGGCCGGCCCACAACGCATCCTTGGTTCGAGCGCTGCACGCACCAGCAGCTCCCAGAACGAAACACTGAAGTAACGTTTGTTTAAAACGAAACTCCGGCTTTTGCAGGAGCACACCGCACGCCTTGGAAGGCGTCCCTTGGAAATGGAAAACTCTTTGATCCTATGAGCTGTTAAATACGTGGCCTTCCCGTGGTGGTCCCCAAAGCCGGCGCGATTGGACAGTGTGGGGTGGTAGGGACCGCACAGTCCCCGCAACGCTGCAAGCCGGAGTGGCCGAAGGGCTTGTTTGGAAGGCTGAGTTTCCCCGTAACCCTACGCGGCGTTTAAGAGGCGCTCTAGGGAAGGGTTTCTACCACTGTCGTTTCTTCTAACGATTTGGCGCCAGTTAACGATGCTGGCCAACTTCTGGGACCGGCAGGAACCCGGCGGGACGCGCTAGAAGTAATTCTCAGAAATCCTGGGCCCGCCCCTTTCTAGACGGAGCTCGGGCCGGTGAGCAAAACCCGCGAGCAAAACCGGCGAGCGGGGGCGTGACCTGGGGCCCATTCCCAATCCTCTGGCCTGACCTGCCTGTGACCCCTGCAGGCCGGACCGTGACATCCGAGTGAACTCTGCAGGGCCACCTCGCCAAGTTCAGCGCGCGCCGGGTCACAAGATGAGTGGGCCCTGCGTGCCGCAATTGCTGGGGGAGGGAGAAGAGTTTTAATAAATGTGCCCATCGAGACCCGAGAGGGCATCCAGCGGGGGCGTCCGGCAGAAAAGGATTAGATGTGAGGGTGAAGATCATTAAAGAACATCTAGAATGGGGAAAGGGGTCAATAAATTATCAGCCAGAGAAGAACTTTGATTAGAAAACTTGCCAAGCTTTTTTGGGTGGTGGTGGGCAAGGAGGAGGAGTGGTTCACTGGAAAACAAACGATTTCCAAGACGTTTACAAAACAGGGTTTTGCTAAGGGTTGAGGGTGAATAGTAGTTTTTTGCTGGAAGAGGGGAGTGAAGACCCAAAAGTAGACTGGAGTCATGTGAGCACCCTTCCTCCACCATTTCCCCTCTGGCAACCCCTGCCAACCTCCCGGCTGTGAGCCGGGTTTTGTACCTGCTGTTTTCTCTGCTTAGGGAGCACCTTTCCCAGGTCACTGCTGGCTGGTTCCTTCCAAAGTCCAATGTCACCTCCTTGCAGAAGTCTTCCCCTCCCACCCTGCAGAGTTTAGCTCCTAGGTACTGCGTATGACAGACCTGTTTTATTTTCTTGAGAGCACTTAGCACCATCTGACATTCTTGAGCTCTTTTGTTTGCTGGTTTATTGTCTACCTCTTCCATAAGCAGATGCAGTCCAGGAGGGCAAAAAACCAGTATGCTCTTTCCTCAGAGAATCTGGAGCTCCTAAAACAGCAGTTCAGGTGTTCCCTGAAATTACCCAAAAGGATATTATCAATGGGAAATTGGAACTGCCCCTACAGGAGCTTATAGTTAGTACAGAGCCCAGGACAGGTAAACCAGGTCTCTTGGAAACATGTACACCATGGTGGCTTCTGAGAACCTCTTCCCCATATTGCTCTTCTCTCCCCCAATCAGAATCAACCCCAAGCCCTAGTCCTCCTGCCCCCTCTGCTTGGTGGGAGCTTCTCAGCCCCAACATGATCTCTGTGGCTTCAGGAGCGCCCTGAGGGCAGGCCCCAATTCTGCCACTTTTGCTTCAATGCCTGCCGATCCCAAGGCCTGGCGCCAGGTCTGTGGTTAGTGGTAGGTGATGAATTGCCCTGGATGGGGGTTACGGCAGTGTCAGCCGAGCTCGGAAGGGCCCGCTGAGCTCTTGAGCTACCGACCCTGCCTGCGCCTGCTGCTTCCTCCTTTCCTTCTGGCCCCGGGGAACCACCTCAAGCATAAGGTCAGGAGGGCACCAGCTTCCTTCTGGTTCACTAAGGGGTCAGCTCCGGGCCTGGGCCACAACTTCCCTGGCTCACCCATCACGTCCAGCTGCCCTGGACTGTCTGAAGACGGGTGGAACGTTGCATTGGGCAGTTGGGAATGGCGACACTGGAGGCTCTTGGATTTAACACTGGTGGAAACCCCTTGTGTTGGAGTCCTTAAGCCAACCTAGGAATCACTATGAAAGGATGAAGGGCTGAGCTCTAGGTGATGGCCACAGGCCCAGAGGCTGGAGCAGAGAGTCAGTGATGAGGGGGAGGAGAGCACTGGCTAAGGAGTCCAGGATCCCACTGCCAGCTCCTCAGGGGAGTCTTCTGCCTATTTCTCATATGCAACAGAGGAGGTAGAGGTAGTAAATGGGAAAGTCCCTGCAGCCAACTCATATGGGGATAATTCTCAGCCCAGCTCTTGGACTATGCTCAGGAGGAAAGGTCTGGCACACTCTGGGGTGGGTCTGTTTTCAGGGGGATGTCTTTCCTCCAAACCCTACCCCACACCTTCCAGCCAGAGGGCAGCTGCCCAGCTAAGTCCTAGCCTCCTCCTTCCACTGCTGCCAGGAAGCTTTGTTCTTGGCCTTCTTAGTTTTGGTAGAAATAACCCAGACCTCTCTGATTATGTCTCAACCTGTGTGAAAATAGTCCAACCTTAGAGACATCTCGATGTGCCCATTCTCCCCTGTATATACGGGAAGATTAAATGTGTTCTTGAAGTAGGAATTATTGCTTTTTAAGAAGTTGCCAGCAGAAGCAGTGATGTTGAGCCATTTAGAGCACCGGAAGTGCCCCACAGTTCTAAGTTTCTGCCGAAATTGAGACAGGCAGAGTGGCCTCCAAGCACCAAGCCGAGGTCAGCTGCCTGAGGGCCTTCCGCTGGGCACCTTCTTGGTGTGTCTTACTACAGCCCAAAGCCAGGCCTGAGATGCGCTTCCTCCCAAGGGTTACAGGTCCAGCCGCGTTTGCTGGGTCTCTGGCACAGTCCAATTCTCCCTGCCACCCCCAAGATCCAGGCAACCGTAAGGCGAGGCCCCGCATCTCCTAGTGAAGATCTCTTCACTTCTTCCCTGCTGGCATCTGGTAATCCTGGGTTAGCAGACATGTTGGGTTAAGAAAGTTGGGTAGGAGAGCTCTTAGAATGTGCCAGATGCCAGTCTAGGTACCTACAGTTTCCCTCCCCTACACCCCAGGTCTATGCACTTGCTGAGCCCTCAGAGCTTGGGGCTTGCTTTGTCAGACCTGTACTGAGTCCTCCACATAGAAGAGCCTGGGACAGGCTTGAAAGGTTAGGCTCACGACCTTTCTTTCCCCAGGGCGCAGAGCGCAGGAGGCACCTTCTCACCGACCTCGGCACCTCTCCCGGGCGCCGAGGCTCAGGCGCGCGCTTCTCCTCTCTCAAAGTCTGGCACGGAGCTGCAATGGGCGACCGTTTGTTGAAGGAGTGAGCGAGCGCCCGAGCCTGCACTATGAAACGGCAGCTGGGCGGCGCTGCTAGCGCGCCGCTGCCACTGGCCGAGTTCTGTTCCGAAGCGCAGCGGGTCAGAGGTGTAGCCCATCCCGCGCCGCCGAAGGTGCGAGCGGGTGGAAAAAGAGCTGCAGCCCGTCCTCCGGATGCACGATGGGTACGGTCTGCATGGCGGGGAAGGCAGGCGTGGCCAGTTCCCAGCGCGCCGTGCGCACCAGCTCCACCGCCAGCAGCTGGAGCACAGCCTGTGCCAGCTCCTGGCCGAGACAGCTGCGCGCTCCGCCGCCGAAGGGGATGTAATGGAAGCGGCCCGAGGCGCCCCGCGCATCCTCCCCAGCCGCGCCGAAGCGCTCGGGGTCGAAGCCCTCTGGCGGGCTGCGGTACACCGCGGCCGTCTCGTGCGTGTCCCGGATGCTATACATCACGCTCCAGCCCTTGGGGATCTGGTAACCCTGCAGGGAAGTGAGGGGACCCGCCTGAATAAGAGGCGCTTGGAATCGAGTTCTGAATCGACCCTCCACCCCAGGTCTGCAGGAACCAATGTCTAACCCCGAAGCTAGGAGAACGCTCTGCGTTCCAATGTCAGCTCCTTCTCCCGTGAGCTGTGTGGCCTTAGGTTGGATACTCAGTCTCTCTGAGCCTGTTTCTTATTTGATAAAATAAGAACAAAAATGCCCTTTTTGTTGTTTGGAGACTAGAATAACAATCTGACATATATATCAATGATCACTAAATGTTATCTGTTGTTTATGTTTCAGTGTTTGGTCTTTGTTTTTTTTTTTTCTTGTGACATTAGATCCAGAGAACTAAGTTCTACTTTCGCACCTTCTCTCTGCCTGGGCGGGAACAACACAAATGATAGGGACCCTCATTCCTCTATGGTCAGCTCAATTAGAAAGCTCTTCTTTGCACTGAACTGAAAACTCTCTAACACCCCCCCCCCCCACCATCCATTAACTGTACCATAATATTCAGGTCTGGTGGCCACACTTCAAGAAGATGCAAATGGGAATTAAACCCAGGCATCTTTAAAATGTTGAAAGGCAGCCTTCATGCTTCCTCTACCCACCTTCAGCTTTTTCAACTATTCTACTTTTTAATGTGTCTTCCATCCTCCCCCCATCCCACCCTACCCTATCCTCCACTATTCTCTTTCCTTCCACTATCCTCCTTCCCTAGCCTAAACAAGAGCTCTTCCACACTCACTTTCCCTCTTTCACCTCTCTAGGCCTCATTTTTCCCATCTGTAAACTGGAGGATGGCTTCCCCTCTACTCCCCCTGGTGGAACTGTACTCCCCTTCCTCTGTTTCCCTTAGACTGTAGAATGAAGTTTGAATTTCAAGATGCAGCATCCAAGACACTTCTAAACACCTCACTAATTCACCCACCTCTGCCTGGGTGGTCCCCTCTCTGCTGGTGTGCTGTCCCCATCCTAACACTTGACTGCTCCATGTCAAATGTCAGCACCCAAAATGTTTTGGTGTTATTCCAGACTAACTAACAACCACCATCTTCCTCACACCAGTTTGGGATGAAGTTATCCTCTTGACCTCCATTCTCTCCACAAAGAACTCCTCCCCTGCAGAATCCCAGTAGCTACAGTGCAATGGACCCCTGGTATGCAATGCCCCACAGATGTTCAGGGACTGTTTAAAGTAAGGCTCAAGGAAGGAGGTACCCAATCCAATCTCTGTCTGCAGGGACAACCATTCAGGCAAACACCCTGGGTTTGGAAAACTAGGCTCCACTCTGATGCTGCCACTGTGCCTTGCAACCCTGGCACCACCTGACTGACAGGGCTCAAAGGGACCAAGACCACTTTCAGAAAACAAACTGAGGCCCAGAGTGAAGAAGGAATTGCCCAAAGTCCCAGAGAGATGGAACCAGGCATGGGTTTCTTGAGCTTGTGAGGCAGTAGGGAAGTGGGTATGGGACACAGTGGGGAGGAGGGGCTCTCCTTGTTCCCCACCCACACTCATTGGCTAAGGGGGGGGGGCCGTACTGCCCGGAGAAAAGTATGTTTTTCTTCTAAAACTGGGTCCTAGGGGCGCCTGGGTGGCTTAGTCGATTAAACGTCTGGCTTCGGCTCAGGGTCCTCGGATCCAGTCCCCCCTCAGGCTCCCTGCTTCGTGGGTTGCCTGGCTGTCTCTCTCTCTCAAAAAAAAAAAAAAAATATATATATATATATATATATATATAAACTCGGTTCTAATTGAGGGGACTGATCCTTGCCACGGAAGAAAACCTGTTCCTCGCCTTGGCTCGCCAGGTGTGGATTCCAACCGTGCATCCATCCATCCGAGCCAGTGGGACCTGGCTCGGCTAATTTTCTGGGCGGAAAGCGGAGGCTCGGGGCGGAGGCGAGGGCGGGGGGCGGGGGGGGGGGGGAGGAGAGGCGACCTCCCGGGCCCAATCCCTCCGGCCCCGCCCCGCGACAGGTGGCGGGGGGCGGGGCAGGCGCGCGCACTTACGTCGAGCTCGAAGGTGCGCAGCGCCGTGCGGTAGCCCCCGGACACCGGCGGCAGGAGGCGCAGCACCTCCTTGACCACGCAGTCGAGGTAGCGCAGGCGGCCCAGCGCCGCGAGGCTGAGGTCGGGCTCGCAGCCGCAGTCTGGCCGGGGCCCCGCACCGCCCCCCGCGGCCCCCGGCGCGCAGCCGCACGCGCGCCCCAGTCCCTGCGCCGCCAGCTCCTGCCGGATCTTGGCGACGGCCGCCGGGTGCTGCAGTAGCAGCAGGACGAGGGACGTGCTGGCACTGGCCGTGGTGAGGAAGGCGGCGAAGAGGAGCTCCACGGCGGTCTCCTGCAAGACAGCCGGGACGGCGCTGAGTCTGCGGCAGCGGGCCCTGGCCGCAAGGCCTCCCGCCCGGCCCCGTGGCTGGGGAGCAAAGGGCCCAAATCTACCGTTACGCAAAAGCCAGAGGGCGGCTCTGTGCGCGGGCCGGGAGTCGATGGAATCCCAAGCGTGCAGTTTCAGAAAGCCACATACAGGAATGACCAAAACCAGGATCTATCCCCTTGCTTTGGAAGGGCTCCCAGAGACAGCGCTAGGAATTTATTCTGTGTGCTGTTCTTAGGGTTTTAAGTGTATTAAGTCCTTTGATTCTGTGACACACAATTAACTGCCTTCGTTTTACAGGGGTGGAAACTGAGGCTCTGAGAGGTGTTCAGGGTAGTCCCAAGCACTGGGGCTCGGGAGTCCCGTGCTCTTAACCACCCAGTGGTGCTGCCTGCATCCTCTGCTGGGCGTTGTGACAGTGAACTGGGTTGGAGGTGGGAGGGCGGAGGAAAGCCTCTGCAGCAGGAGTGGGGCCTCCGTGGAGCAGAGGAGGCATCGTGGCTTCCTCCTCCTGCTTAGTGGAGTGGCCCAGTGAGTATTAAACCTCTTCCAGGTCTGCACTGTCCAAGAAGGACAGAGAAGGGGCCTAGTGGCTTCAACCTCCAAGCCCCAGCCTCACCCTCACTGCCTCCCTCTGTCTTGCCAGCTCCTGGTGGCCCGCACGATTTGTGTTCATGCATTGATTTGTCTGATCATAGAATGAATGTGTACCCCCGCCCTCCCCCACCTCAAGGGCAAGGGCTGTGTTTTGGTCTCTGCTATATCCTCAGTCCCAGCATAGAGCCTGATGCCAGGCAGACACATCATAACGTCTCTGGAATGAATGACCTGGTCCAAGGCTAACCGCCTGCCCTGCACATGGGAGGCCCAACACCCTTCCTGGCTAGGCCTAATCTGCCTGGCCTGCCCCTGAGGCCCAGACCAGAACTAAAGATGCCTGATTTAGGGGAGTGCGGTCATCTGCCCACCAGCCCTGTCAAGCACTCTCTTTTCACAGGGGAGGGCTCTCCCAGGACTCATGAGCCCACTTGCTCATCTACTTCTAACCATCTGAATACCTCCAGATCTCATGACTCAAGAATCTGAATCAAGATTATTAGCCCCATACTCAAAGAAGAAACTTAAGGCTGAACCCTACCCTTCATGGCTCTTGAAAAGTGGGAAATTAAGGCCCAGAGAAAGGCTGGGAGTTCTTTTGGAAGGGTTGGGGTGTTCCCATTTCTAACTTTCCCCTGCACCCCCAACCTCTCTGCTCCTTTCTGCATTCTCCAACAGCTCTTAGGGGCCACTCCAAAGCTTCTCTCCTTACTTCCACTGCCTGTGCTCTACACATACCTGGAAAGGGGCTCTAATTCTCAGGGGAGACCTCCTGTTGGCAAAACAGGTTAAAGGTGCCAGGTGACAAGGTGGCTTATGGAAGGAGAATGTCGATTTTGGGAAGAAGAGGGAGCTTCAAGGAGGATGTGTAGTTTGACCCTGAACCCTAGGGTTTGTAGAGAAAAGGAATAGAGAGGCCTTCATATGGGGTGGTGGTGGTGGTGGGGGAGCAGCAGAGGAAAAGGTGTGAAGTGACAGAGAAGGGGGTGGGGAAAGCAGAGCTGTTTATGGCCAGAACCTGGAAGCAAGGGCCACTCTTACAGAGGTGGATGGTGACTGGCCCAAGGCCACAGAGCTAGTGGCTATGGCTGAGCCATGACTGGAACCCATGGCTCCTCTTTCCCCCTCTCCTGAGGAGTGCCTATGGCCAAATAGGACCCCAAGGAGGGCAGAATGCAGCATGTGTATGGGGACCTGCTAGGAATGAGAAAGAAGTAGAACCTTCCCACTGCCTACCTTGAGCTCCTGCACTGAGAGCTCATGGCCCAGCTCCCTAGTGCTGTGGATTATCATGTCGAGGGCGTCACCCGGCTCTGCAACCTTGTCTTCATGAAGCTTCTCTGCAATTGCCTCCTCCAGGTACCGATGCAGCTGGTCTCGTGCCCGGATGCCCTGATGCATGGGGAGAGAAGGGAGGTGGGGCAGGAAGGCTGAGGGGGCCAGACCTGTACACCTACCCCGCCACATCCTCCTGGGGCTCTTCTGGCTTTGCTGAGATCCAGGTGTTAAGCTTCTCAACTTAGCTCCATGCCTGGCACGTAGTAGAGGCTCAGTGAATGCCCAAGAACTTATCCACGATCTCTACACATAGTTCTCTCTTGATTATCACATTTCAACCTTTGAGGCAAGGCAAAGAGTTACTGTCATCCTGAGAGGAGGATGCTGAGGGGTCAAGCAATTGCCCAGAGTCACAAACCTCTCAGTCCCCAGGCCTGGCACAGAGCCTAGTCAGGTGGAGGCAGCCCATTGCCCTTTCCCTGCACTAGACTCAGGCAGGGGCAGTGGGCACCAGAGTAGAGAGGAAGGAACATCTTGATGCATCCAGCAAAGCTCTGGCTTAGAGAACACTACTGGATGTTCTAAGCATTACCCTCTTTAAGCTGATAGCCAGGGGGTGGGGATTCGGGGAGCAAGCATAGCAAAAGCATCTGAGCCCTTGGGTTTTGAGAGCATAGGCGATCTGGCTGAAATCCTGCCTCTGCCCCTACTAACTGTGTGATCTTGGGGAAGTCACTTAATCTCTCTGAGCTTCAGCTTCTTCACCAATAGAAGAAGAAGAAGAACACTTTGCAGGTTGAGAGGATTAAATCAGAAAATATATTCAAGGCGATCAGCCTAAGGCATGCCCCTTTGTACATAACTATTATTTTTATTCAGGTGAGGAAAACCCAGGCATCGGTACAGTGAGAAGCCTCAGCTCACGGACAACGGAAAGGCAAACGCAGCCTCCTAGTTGCTCTCGGTCAAACGCAGCCGGTCCCGTCGCTCGGAAGTCTGAGGAAGCAGCGGTTCTTTGCTGGGGAAACGAACGCGCCCCGAGCCGCGGACGCGGAGCGGGAACACGCTCCTCTCCAACCCAGTCTAGGCCTGAGGAATGTCGCGGCGCTCGTGCGCCCATCAGTTGCGCAGCCATCCGGGCTTCCTGAGACGCGGCGGCGGCCAGGCCAAGGGGCGCCGCTCGGCTTGCCGCTGGGCTGACTGGTTGGGCGGCCGCCGCCGAGACTCGGGGTCGGAAGCCAGCGGCCGGCGGGTCCGGCGCGTATCCCCGCGGGCGCGGCCCAGAGAGGCTCTGCGGCCGCTCGGGTCACACCGCGAGTGAGGACAGAGGTCAGCCCCGCCGCCCGCCGCCCGCCGCCACGCCACACCACCTCCCCATCCAGGCCCCTGCCTCGGTCCCGCCGGGGAGGTGACGCAGAGGGCGAGCCGAGGGAGCCCCCGCTGGGATCCCCAGAGGAAGGTCTGAGGCCAGAACGCCAGTACCTTACGCAGGCCGCTGAAGGGGACGTCCAGGGGCAGCGAGAAGAGGTTCTCTACGAACTGCTCGAAAGTCCGGGCCAGCTCCGCACACTGCACCTCGTCCAGCCGTAGCCCCAGCAGGATGCGCGCAGCCATGCGGAAGGTGAGCGCCTTGGCGGCCTGGTAGACGGCAACCGGCCGGCGGGCCGCGCACCAGGAGCGCACCTCGCGCCGCAGCGCCCCTTGCAGGCGGGGCACCAAGCGCTGCAGAGCTGCACGGCTGAACACACGTGCCAGGACCTGTGGGGGGCCCGCGGCATGAGCGCTGGCCGCGGTCCGTTCGGCTTCCTCTGCTCAGCGATTCCAGAGGAGCCAGAAGGCCGATTTCGGTCCCTTTCTCCTCTTCCAAGGGGCCAGGACCTAAATGTGTTGGCTTTTGCTCCCGCCCGCCCGCCATTCCCTCTAGCTCTCTGATGTATACAGTCCCTCCCATCCACCCAGGCTCCAGATGCCACCTCCTCCAGGAAGCCGTCTCTGGTCCCTCTGAGTCTGATTTTCCACCACTCCGGTATCAGAATCACATAGAGAAGATCGGAGATGAAAGGCCCCTTGAGTCCCAGTCCTGACTTTATAAACCAAAGCGGGAAAAGGTAAGAGACTGGCTCAAAGCCACCACTGGTTAGCCTGGGGTCCCTGCCAGCTTCAAAGTGTGCCCCTAAAACCTAGCCCAGGCTGGCCCACAGCAGGTTCCCCGGGAACCGCATGCCTGACGTCCCAACGGCCCCTTCTTTGGTCTTGGCTCACCTTGCGCCGCCGCCGGTGCGGCTCGCCAACTGCGCCAAGCAGCGTGTGCGAGCCCAGTAGGATGTGAGCGCTCTGCGGCCACTGGCTGCGCACCAGGCGGTGCTCGCCCAGCAGGATGGTGCGCACGTTCTCGGCGCCGCTCACGCGGATCACCGGCCGGCCCAGCAGGTGCGTCTTGAACACTGTCCCATAGCGCTCCCGGCGGGAGCTGTGGAAGCGGGAGCCCTGCGAGCGAGGCGGAGCGAGGCTGGAGCCGCAGGGCCTCGGCCGGGGGTCTGGCCCAGGCCGCCCAACCGCCCCTCGCTACCAGCTCCCCGCTCCAGGCGGGCGCCTCACTCTTTACAAAACCGAATCTCAAATGGGCCCCGTGACTACCCAATGGAAATGTAGATGGCACTGGTCTGTTCCCATTGGTGAGGTGAGGAGACTGAGGCTCACAATGGGGACCTGGGCGCCCGAGGCCTCACGGCTGAGAAGTGCCCCCGATTCCCTATTCCGTGCTTGCAGGGTAGAGGGCGAATGTTCTTAGAACCCCTCTGTTCACCCTGGCGTTGTGTCGGGTCGTGTTCAGGTTGCGCTGGGGAGAACTCGGGCGCATACGGTCCCTTCAAGGGAGCAACTGAGCAAAGGCGAGGGCTGTGTATACTCCCTGGGACTCGGGCGACAGGATGAGGCCGGCTTGGAACCCTGGGAATGCTGTGAGTGGGGAGGGTCCGGTGGGAGCCAGGGAAGACGGGGCCATGCGGGGGTGCGAGCTACTCACCTGAACTAACCAGTGCAGCGTTTCGCCGAAGAAGGGCCAGCCCATGGAGCCCTTGGGCAGGGGCAGGGCGGAGGCCCGGTCGCGGCTCAGCGTCCAGCGGAGCGTCCAGAGGTGCTGGGCCAGGCTGAGCAGCAGGCCGGCGCACAGGAGAGCGGCGCCCGCTGCCCCCAGCACCGACAGGCAGCTGGGCCCCCAGGGGAACATGGCGAGCCTGCGGGGACCAGGCGGCGCCGGGGCGCAGGGGCCGCGAGAGCCGGGGCGCTGCCAGCGCCCAGGGCTCACCTGTTGGTCCGGGAAGGGCCCGGGGCTTGCGGGCCAAAACCGAGATTTAAAACCTCGGAAAAGGACTTCGCGCTAGGGGCAGAGTGGTAGTAGAAGGCGGCTGCGACCGCACGCACGCACGCCCTTAGGGAACGTGCCTTCCTCTAGTCCGACGGCTTCTGGGCCCAAATGCCAGCCCCTCGCTGGGGTGCCCGCTTCCTCGCCACCGCGGTCGCCGGCGTCCGCGGGTACCGCCCTCCTCCTCCCCGGGTCAGTCTCCTTTGATGGAGCGGAGGAGAGCTCGGAGAGGAGCAACTCTCCGGGGTTCAAACGTGCGCTGCCATCACCGGGGCCGGGGACCCCGCCCCACCTCCCTCTCTCCTCGGCCCACCCTGGGCACATTTATATAGATACTGGCTCCCTCCCTGTGGACCCATCCCGATTCACACGACGTGACGCGCCCATGCATATTTAAAGCGCTCGGAGCAGAGTAATGATTGGAGGCGGTGGGCAGCGGCGGGCTCACCCACGGGCTAGTGGGGAGTGGCAGCCGCGGGGCGCTCGGGCTGGGCTGGGGGCCGCGCCCCGCGCAGATCCCCGGGCGGGGCCTGCAGTTTCGCGCCAGAAGTTCCGTACGCCGCAGCTCCGCGGGTGGGCGAACCCGCGCCCCCGGCGTCCCCACCCTCGAGGCGGGGTACCCATCCTCTCTGGGCACGCAAACCTTGACGGGCTTGAGGTGGGCGGTGGGGAGCAGTCCCCTGGGCTCGGTTTCAGTTTCCCGAGAAACTGAGGTCTTCGATGGCGGCCTTGCCCGGGGTCGAGATTCTCCCACATCCCCACCCGCACTGCGCACCCGCTTCTAATCTACCGCCTCAGGACCCCTGCGAAAGTCGGTTGTGTCATTGCTGCCCGAAGCTTCGCTGAGACACGTAATCCCGCCAGCAGCGGGTGTCTCCGGGCGCCTTCCCGGCCTCCAGGGCCGAATTCACCGTCCCCTCCCACTCGGAAGGCCACTCCACCCCACCCCGTGCGGTCTCCCAAGGTGCTTCTCCGTTTGTGTCCGGTCCGAGCGCTCCAATCTCCCAGGGCATTGGCGTCCCGGTCCCCACAGGGCAACCCGAGAGTAGGCGGGGAGTGGCAGGGGGGTTAGATGTATTATGAAAGAAGGTGAATCTCACACCATCATGGCTACGAACCCACCGTGGTCTGCTTCAAGCAGTACAACAGCGGAGTGTCTCCGGATCTGGGGACGCCTGAGCCCAAGCCAGGGAGACGCCCTGAGTCCCTGCGGGGCTGGGGAAGGCACGCGAGGGACAGCCACATTCCAGTCTTCAAAAGAGCCAGCTGTTCACCACTCCTCTTCTAACTTCCAGATTTTACTGTGCCGGAAGAATTGCCATGTTTTCCATGTAGTATTTTTTAAAATGTGAAGTACTTGAAAGATTGAGATGGTGAAGAGAAAAAATGCTTATATCTTTGTTTTGGTGACACTATCCCCTATTCCAATAACCAGGGAATAAAAGTCTTTCTAAAGGAAGCAGTTGTTTTCAATAAGGAACCTCCGGATAAATTCAACAGCAATGCATTTTCTACAGCTTGTTCAACCTTTTTTAATGTTTCTTCACAAAATCAAGAAATGTACATATAATTCTTTACACTTATTTTACAGAGTCAAGTGTAAGTTTCTTACAGGCATAAATCCTGAAAATGCAAAAGGAATATTTAGCATAAATACAATGAAAAGAAAGTTGGGATCAGACTGGTATTTCCATTTGGACCACGGTAATCTACACAGAAGAAAATGTACATTCATTTTAGATTTTCCAGAGTTCATTTCGTTTGGCTTGTTTCCATACAAAAGATAGGTACTGACATCTGCTATCTGAATAAAGTAACCTGACCCCTGTAGAAACTTCTGTGTGTACAAACATATCTACCCTAGCACAAGCAGCACCTGAAGTGGTTTACCTCACTTCATTCCTTTCCTCTTTTAACTTGAACCAAACCAAACCAAATAAATCCTAGAATGGGGTCAGCTACAAATAATATGGTTAGAAATATTAACTCTGCTAACCAGAAACAACACTGCATTTTTAGAAAATCCAAACACCTTTTTATTTTTTTCATATTCAGAACCATTAAATTAAACCACCCAAGCAGAACAAATAATTCACATTCTTACTGAGTTAAATCAAGTTTGATTTCAGGGATCTTTAAAGATTTGCATATTTTCCTCTCAGAATCTGCAATATTGGAAAATTTAGTCTACTTAAATCATATTGAAATGAAAATAAAAATTAAGCCACAAAATGACAGTGAAATACTCCCATATCAGACATGATGGCATTTCAAAACTGGATAGTGATGAAAAAAAAAAAAAAACAACAGAAAAAACATTCAAGTCTAAATAGAAAAAAATACTTATATGTAGAGGCATATAAGGTTTTTCTAATGTGTTTAAAATCAGTTTCATATACAACTTTGACCTAATTTATATATTACATTTTGCCTTTTTTCCCTAAATGTGAAAAAGTTAATGTCACACTTTCCATATATAAAATAGTATCCAGTTATTTAAAAATCCATACAAATGATATTTTTGTTTCTTGTTTCATCTCTCATCAGTGTCTTTTTTTCTACTGCATTTTTAAATGCTGCAAACAAATTAAACTATCATGACCCGTGCTTGTTAGAGATCAATGTTGAATCACAGATTTGGTGTCACAGAGTGCAATCCAAGTCTATGTATGCTGGGACATCCCATTCACCAAACTTCTCAGCTGTTTCACGACTGTCTCTATCAACTTCTGCTTGTCTCGATCATTCTTCCTGAACTGAGCAAATATATTGTTCTTTTTGCTAGTATCCTTCATCCTAGGAATATATGTGAATGAAGAGGCTTGGTAAAAGGAATTAAAAGCTATGCTGTCACAAGTAAAATATCTTGGCATGCTCTGAATTATCTCATACTAATTCTTATGCTTGAAAAACATACTTCAAAGAATGTGGAGACTAATACAGAGAAAGTAATTACACAAAAAATTAGTAGCTTTATTTTACGCTCTATATCAAGTGGGTTTTTTTTTTTTTTGAAAGATTCTTTATTGATTTATTCATGAGACACACAGAGAGAGAGGCAGACAGACACAGGCAGAGGAACAAACAGGCTCCATGCTGGGAGCCAGACCTGGGACTTGATCCCAGGTCTCCAGGATCACACCCTGGGCCAAAGGCAGCGCTAAACCACAGAGCCACACAGAGCCACCCGGGCTGCCCCTCAAGTGGGGTTTTTGCATTAGTATGTAAGTCTAAAGTATGTTAAGTTTTCTAATATAATATTTTCTAGTATCATCCCACGAAGTATGCTAAAATACATACCCTCTATGGACTCTGCAAATCACATTCATAGCAAAACAAGGTGAAGGAAAAATAACATTAGAAAATCTAAAGCAGCATTTTTTTCTTTCTTTCTTTTTCTTTTCTTTTTTTTTTTTTTTTGTGGCCTCAGTAGTGTTTCATGGCATGGTAAAATAAATTTACATTTGTTTTATTTTATTTATTTTTAAAGATTTTACTTATTTATTCATGAGACACACAGAGAGATGAGAGAGAGAGAGAGAGAGAGAGAGATAGTCAGAGACACAGGCAGAGGGTGAAGCAGGCTCCATGCAGGGAGCCTGAAGTGGGACTTGATCCTGAGACTCCAGGATCACATCCCGGGCCAAAGGCAGGTGTTAAACCACTGAGCCACCCAGGGATCCCCAATTTACATTTATTTTAAACAGTTCCTTTTGTCCTCTCAAATCAAATACATGATAGATATTTTAAAATGTGGGAAAATAATAAACACTTTTAATTCAAAAATTGAAAATTTTAATAGTGATACCTGAAATGAAATATGATTAAAGTGAAAGGAAAACCTGCCACATCATGAGAGGGAAAAGTAACACCTAAACTTCTTTTTAATTGGACAAGATGCGTCAAAATTTTGTTCACAATATATTGCAATTATATTGCTGTTCAATATAAACAGCAATCTCATAAAACCACACTGACACTACACCAGGAAAGAGAAAGGGTTATGTTTTGGTCATTAAAATGGACTGAGCTTTTAAGCTCCATTTAGACATTTCTCTTTTGTTGAAAATCTCTAGTTGTTCAATCATCACTAAATCACAAAATGCTAAAATGTTATGTATGCAAAGAAGTCTTCAGGATATATACTCACTTCTCCAAAAGAGTAAGAGCTGTATTTGGATTCACCCGAAGGTACTTAGAAGCTGGCTGTCCATAATCAGCTAGATAAGTAGACCAATCCCAAACCATAAACAGGTCAAGGAGCTGAGGAAGATAGGGCAAAAAACGTTAAACCAACTTTTGACTATTTACCTATCATAGCTAATACATACAGTATATGCCATTCTTGGTCCACTCTAATATGACCTGCTTCTTAGATGAAACAAAATAAGGAATCCATTTTTAAAATTTTATTATTAACCATACTTTATAGCCAAAACAGCATATACTATATTTTTACTTTTGAAATTACTGAAATTGTCAAGGGTCGCTTTTCTAATAGAATACTTGATTGCATTCTCAAACGACTGTAAAATAATGAAAACACTATTAATAGAATTATATTAATACTTGTACTGATGTATATAGATTTAATCTTCATACATTATTCAGTTCATACTTCCATTTAATTAATAAGGGCTGGTGCTACTGCCTGTTTGAAGAATTTCAAAGAACTTAAATTGAACCTTTTTTCGTAGAGGTTAAGTATGTTTACCTTTCAAAGAAGCCGTTTGTACCTAGACTTTTCCCAAAGTAATTTAAAACAAAAGCTCAGATAATCTCAATTAAGTGCATTAAACAACCTCTGCTGGATTCTCCCTGGTGATAGATCTTCAGTAGTATTATGAAATGAGGGCTTCAGGACT